TATCAGCCACCCAGGTCGAGGGACTTTGTTACGGCAGCTCAAATATGGATTTGGATCTTTCAGAGCTAAAATGGGAGAAGACTCAATGCCAAATACAGACTCGCCATGGCTCTTCTTCCCCTCGGTCAATAGAAATCAGCAGCAGTTGACTGCAACTGCTGAACTCCGGGCCTCACAGCCCTTGCCCGGCCGTTTCCACTGTTTCTACACTTGCACCACACACCTCGACTCTCCCTCAGTCCTCACGCAGTCCGCGCACGGAGACATCATCTGAACCGAACTGCAGATGAAGGAAATCTGGTGCTGCTCGTCCCTCTCTGTGCACTACGAAAGCCGGCACAATGGGATCCCATCCCCACGGCACACGATAAAGTCCAGCCGGCTTCATCAACACGATGTAACACCACCTAGGGGGCAGCATTTCAGTCCCTTCAAAATGATCCAAGATAAAATGTTCTAAGGGATGCAGAGATTCAGCTCCACAGAACCACAGCCAACGTGGGTCCTAACCACCATGCCTGGCCCGGCATAACCCCGGTGATTCCTATCACATGGCTTCCCCACATGCTCTAAGTACATAACACCACTGGAGTGGTGTGTGGGTCTTCACGACAGGCCTCTGCCACTGTGAGCCCAGGAATGGACTGAAGTCTTGCGATACTAGCTTAGGGTAAACCAGAGATGATCCAGCTGGAACGAAGTCACTTCTGTTGCGACCACTGTAGGCGCCACCTTTCCCAGCCCAAGGCAAGGAGATCCACTGATTTCACTGCCACTGAGGACCACGTTTCTCCACGTCCACAATCCGTGGCACTTTGTGCAATTTTGGACCCGTTCCCTTCCTTGTCTTGGTCTCAAGGCACCTTGGGGCCGGTTTTCACACACTGGGACTGAGTTGTCCCAGAAAAGTAACTTTAATTTTTATTTGATGTAAAAGAAATTTTTGTACATAATGATTGCATTCATTGTGGGAACTGGTGACATTCCTCAATTCCCCTTTCCAGCATCACATTCATTCATCTATCTTACAGGTCCTTCCAGAGTTAACTGTCACGCATAAAAATTAACAACGGACTAAGCGGCCAAAAAGCATATAAAACACGTAAGGCAATTAAACTAAGTTGACTATACTACATTTATATGAAATGATACCAAGGCACTTGTCGATACATTCTCCTCCATGGATTGCAACCACCTTTTCTCTTCTTTCCTTCTTCCTTTTATCTGTCTTACTTTGCATTTGGGGCAAACACTGATTAGTGTTAGAAGTTGCTAAATATATATTTCTTATTAGTACCAAGAGACAGAGAAATTGATGTCTACTTTCTTTCTAAATTAGTAGAAATGCATAACGGAATATGAAGATCAAGTAGACAGAAAAATGAATACAAAAGCAATTTATGAAGTAAATAGTAGAATAGGCTCCAAGTATTCATAAAAATCAATTCCATAGAGAAAATGTAAAGATATTATTCATCCAGGCATACATTTCAATAAGCATGGACACATACAAACAAGTAAAGAAGGCAGGCAAGCAATAATAATACACGTTGAGCAAAAAAATACTAATGAAGCTAAACCTCTCTGGATGTGCGTGTGCATTCACTGACGTAAGCGCAGGGGGTTTGCAGACCAGGAGGAAGATGGGAAGAACATTGCTGCTGCACCAGCACTCCCTAGCAATCCTGCTGTCTCGGAAGCAGGAAACACAAGGACAGGAGAAACTTGCAGAGACAAAGAGCCTGAAACTCTACAACTAAATGCATGTCCTGGGAAGGACAGAAAAGCGACAGAAGTGCGGAAACTGCTGACACGGAAGGAAGCCTGCGAACAGTGAACGGGCCAGGAGGAATGTTACTTTATCAGTTGTGCACGCCGCCCTCGTGTGACAGGGTAACGGGGAGGAGCCTGTGTCACAGAATTCGGAAGCATTCTGCACTCCCAGACACATTCCAGAAATCCAAAGTCATTCCAAATTTAAGTTATTTTTAAAAAGGTAAATTTTCTAAAATCAAGAAGATAAAGATATACACAAATACAATCAACAGTTTAATAAGAACAGAAAAAACTATAGTAAAAAACTGAAAGGAGGATAAATTTTTTTCCACAAACCATACTTTTTCCATAAATGCAGAATAATTCCCAGAATTGTGAGAATAGGTAAAAGAGCTTTAAAAATTTGCCAGACAAGAAAGATTAACATGAAAAATTGTTTGTAGCTCTGTCCATCGGCAATATAGAATTAGAAAACATAATTTTCAAAAAAAGGCATTTAGAAATAATCTATGCAAAATATAGCAATATAACAATAAATTTAAATAACAGATTTACAAAATATTTTAAAGAAAACGTCAAAACCGTATAGGTCTAAAAGAAGATTGCAGCGAATGGAAAGACAAAAGTTCTTGAGGATAGAAGGCATTATTATAATAATTTTCTTCAACATGATCTATAGGTGCTATGGAAAAAGTATTTACAGTCTAAAATGTGTATCACAGTGAAGGATACACGTTCGTCCCCTCAGCTCTTCCCCTCACTTGGAACACATCTTTGCTGGCTGCAGTTCTGCACGTTCCTTTTCATGAGTCTGCTAACTGCCCTGCTGTGGCAGAGCTGATCTCCTGAATTAATGCAAAACGCTGACCTTTTGTGGCCAATGGGATTCTGCAGATGAGCTGGAAGATGGCGCAGTGGCAGATCTGGTGACCAGGGAGGACGGGAAGGCCCAGTGCTGTTGTTATGAGTCTGCCTGCCTTGTGGAAGGTGCCCAGCAGCGGCCATCACCTTCATTTTTGATAACAGTTCAGGGACCTTAGCAAAAGAGGCCTTGCAGAGCTGCTTCAGGAAGTGCCACAAACGAGGGATAAGTGTGTTCACAGCACGGGAGAGCACTGTAAGGTGATTACTGGCAAAGTGTCTCTTGCTATAATTATTTACAAAATAGTATTCACGGTATTTTCTAATAAGCCTTTGTACAGTGAAACCTCTTGGGATAAAAACTGTCACAGTTTACAAGGAACTTTACAGCTTCACTTGAAAATATATTAAAAGGCAAAATAGCCAAGGAGTCCCCAAGGAGAAGAAAATGAGTTGAGAATTCTCTACCACAGGCTTCTAAACGTGCCAGGTAACTAAGACAGTCGTTTAGTGAAGAAAGACACAGCTGGCCAAAGGGACAGAGGGGCTGTGAAACATCAGACCAAGAAGAGAACTCCCATGCATGGGAGCTGGCATTCTACAACCGATAATGAGAAATTACTGGACACCCTCACGAAAACCACCCGTGTTTCGCTTCACAAAACACACACCAATGTGTCAGGAACTGAAACAGGAGAGACAAAGTTGTAATAGTCCAACAGGTAAATGAAATCTACAGGAAGCATATGGCCAGGTACCTCACTGTTACTGGGTAACAGAAAGTATTAGTGGACGGTTATAAATATGAACAGTTTTCAGCCTTATTCAGTAATCAGAAAACAAAATTTATGCTTAGTTACAATTCATAGTGTTTCACCAAAACCCAAAGCTGCAGATGATGTTGTACAGCAGAATTTTTTGCAATTTTGGTGGAAGTGTAAACTGGTCACTTTCAATAATTTGACTCTACTTAGTAGCATGGAAAATATAGACATCTTTAGACTGCTAACCATTCTTGGGTCTCTACTTGGCTTTCTTGTTCTTGTGCACAAAGGGAACTAGAAAGAAGCCAAGCATTCCTGAAAAGAAGAGACTAAAAAGGCTAACAAATTATACTGTGGAATACTAGATATCAAAGAAAATGAATGAACTAAGATATAGGCATCCACAAAAACTAACTTTAAACACTTAATATTTTAGGTTTGTCAAATACCTCTCCAAATCTCTTTTCACATTTTTAATTTCAAAACAGGGTCTCCCTAACACTTTTAAGTTGCACAGCCTGGGCTCAAACTTGAAATCCCCCGGCCTCAGGCTCCCAGAACACTGGGATTTCAGTCATGCACCTCCATGCTCAGCTTGAGTAATATAAATAAGCGAGACCCTGCTCTACAGGGTCTAAAATCATAGATGTCAGGGGACAAAACAACATGGAATACATAACCATAAAAGGAAAAAAATGTGAGAAAGTAAGTGTGAAAGACAAAAACTCTGACGTGCAAAGCTTGTTTCATCTGCACTGAAATACTTATCTGTCATACATGATAAAATGAGGATTCTCTTTTAACTTGTACATCAGAGACAAAGAACCCTGCACAGAAGTTCAAGTGAAATATTTTCTTGATACACAAATGCGACTGAAGTGAGAAATCTTCAAGACCACCCAACCTTGAGAAATGCATTCCTGGGGGATTTACAGAGGAATATCTGTATGACATACAGTAGGTGGTTTCTCGCTTGGGTGAAATATTCTGGCTGATTTTGGTTCATGAATGCTGCTAAAAGAATTATAGAAATTCCTAACTGGCAAGAAATAATGGTAGCCTAAATTTGAAATTCTGCTTTCAGACTGTAATTCTTCTGTGGTGAAATATTCAAACTTTGTATTCCTCTGCATGTGTATTTGCGTGTGTGTGTGTGTGTGTGTGTGTGCAGATGTACCTAGATAATATATACACCCATAGATGCTTTCGGCTCTATTCTTTTAATAGTTTATAGTTTTTTATTTGGCTGTCAGGAAAATTAAATAAAAAATTATTAGCACGAATGGTAATTTAAGGTTTCTGGCACAATGCTGTTTCTGTACTCAGTTTTTAATTCTCTGCACTTTATTTTAAATGTTTTCTAGCCTATATATACTTTTCAGTAAAAATCGTCTCAAATGATTATAGAAGGTAGACAATAATGATTATAAATGTGTCTTGTTTTTAAATGAAGAATTTAAATGAAATTGGAACTTAAATGAAATCATAAATCCTTAGACTGTCAGAGAAACAAAGAAAGATGCCATTTAGCTAAAATCCATGAAGCAACGGGAAAGACACCAGTGCTGTAGGCTGAGGCTTCGGAGGGTGACAACTTACTTGCAGATGTCGTCTTCCGGGTCCTCCAGCCCAAATCGCTCGTCAAAGGTAAGCTGTATCCACATGTTTTCCTCCACCGCTACCAGTCTCCACACCAAGACCATGTTTCTCGGGTAAGCATGAGGGAACCTGGGGCTGTGAATGGTCCCATTGGCAGACACGGTGATGATCCTTTCATGCTGGGGGTCTTGCACTCCTGGAGCAAAAACACAGAGGTGCACATTCACCGAGGTCAAACATCTCAAAAGTTATCCCAAAACAGTTCTTTGTTCTTCACATTTTGCACCAAACAGGTGCTAAATATACCATGTAAGACCAGCACCTCTTTTTTCCTTCAGAATTTATGCAATAAAACAGCATTTTAATTTTATTGCAAAAACACCTATGTCTATTTATTTACTCATGTATTTATATTTATTTATTTTTGATACCAGGGATTGATACTTAGGATTGAACTGAGGCAGGTGGCAGAACCACTGAGCCAAATCCCCGGAACAGTCTATTTATATTTGAAAGGATACAGAATTAGTCTTTATCAATCTAATTACTAAAATGTTAATCGCCAACTCCTTTTTTTTTTTTGTAATCACCAACTCTTTTGGATTCTCTAAAATCACAATAAACTTGAGTGAGGATTCTTTTTGCCAACAAATGATCAAAGATAAGCATATTACAATAAGGATTAATTTGTTATTTTATTTTGTACAGTACAAAATCATGTCTAAGTTCATTAGTCATGGAATATTTTTGCATCTGTGAGATGAGATTATTTTATACCTGCTGAAATATGTTACTAATAAATCTCTTCTTTTGGTTAAAATTTTGGTGGGGAAAGAACGGAGGAGCAGGGTAAAATGGAACTCAGATATGCATGTTCTTATACCCACTCAGGTGAGAGTCAATAATGAAAGTGTATAATACATATTTGTACAATGAACAGTCATTTACACCCAAAAACCCCACAAACTAAGATAGTTACAGTCTTCAGGCTAAGTCCATTTATCCCTTTTTAAAATCCAATACAAAAATTTTAACTTTTATTCAATTTTTAATATGATTTCCTACAGATCTTTAAAAGTCTTAGGCAGCTGCACCCTGAACATGCGATGTAAGGCACAGCAAGATACCTGACACTTTGGGTTGAATTCTTACATACTTTTAATATGAAGAGAATGATAAATACTAACTAGTAAAATTAAATCTATAAACTGTTTTCAAATCTTTCTTTTTACAATGTTTTAGAGCTGTTTATATATAAAATAGGAGCTTATATTTTGGCATCTAATATTTTAATGAATTAATTTTCTCAGAAGTTACTAAAACTTAATATCTGCCCAGTGTATCTCAACAAACACCTATATCCAAGGTACTCCTCACAAATACAGCAGTGTTTACTTTTTCGTTTACAATCTAGAGAATGGCATGTCTATTCAAAGATCTGAATTCTATTTTTAAACCCTTAGTCAGAAAAGTTCATGGCTAAAATGTGTATCCTTAAATTTGTGTTTACATCTTTTCTCTATATAATTCCTAACGTCATTGGACTATAATTAAATATGCTTTACAGACTAACAATCTAGGCTCTATTTGTGGTACAGGAAAAGTAAATTTTCTTTTAAGTTAAACTGCCACTTCCCCCAAATCCACCCCAACATGCAGTGAGGCTTGCCACCAAGCACGTGATTTTCAGATGACCATCAGTGGCATGGAAATCTCAAGCAGCTGGGCCTCTAATCAAAAGAAGGAAAGAAAGACAGAGGAGGAAGAGAAGAAGGGAGGGCGGAAGGGAGACAGGGAGAAACCAAGTAGGCAACCAATACTGAATCCTACCAAATTAGGCCTCTCCACTGCCATCTGTTCTGTAAACATGCATATTTTCAAACATACAACATTACTAGTATTTTAAGGATGACGTAAATACATAGAATTTTATGACTATTTTAATGAAACTTTGTTTTTCTTATCCCAAGGAATGATCTACTCAAAGTACCAATGAAATAAAATACAGATTTATAGTCAATCACTAAAATATTGACATGATCTTTTTCATGATTTATCCTGAGATAGGAATACATCTTACATATCTGAGATAATAAAAGAAGAAATATACATGAATACTAAATTTGAAAAATTATACACAATGTCAAATTACTGGGCCCACCCTTCTTAAGGTAAAAATAGTAAAAACAAAAATTAAGTAAAATTACAAAAAGAGAAAAATATGCAGATAATATAAATGTAAAATTATTGACTATATAAACATATATAGCTCAATTGTATATATATATATATATATAGTATATATCTGTATGTTTTAAATCAGTTTAGCAATAAAATCCAAGCAATCCCATAATATTTGGTACTTATTCCATACACCTGGTACTTTAAAAGTTTTAATTACTACGGATGAAAGAGTATAGTAGTAAGAGAATCATAAAAAGCAATAAAAATTGTGATGGCCCAAAATGTTATATTAATAAAGGTAACACTAAAAAATACGCAACTCATAAAGAAAGATAAATCAACCTCCTCTCTAAGTTGATATTTTAAGTGGACTTTACCAGAAAAGAACTGTAGGAATGAAAATTAGGCAAAAAGAAACAGACCTCCAGTCTTGGTTTGGTTTGGGAGTTCTAGAGAGTCCTGCTTCTGTGTCTCTCAAAGGCTGTCCCACTCTGCCTCACAGAGCTCGAGGCTCCACAGACACCGCAAGATGTGCTGAGGGTGCACACTTCCAGAGGCGCTGTTTTCAAATCATGTGAAAAGGTGTTTCTTCAAAAGTTCCTATATCTATTTCCAAACTTTGCTTGATAAACACATAATCACTGGTCTTATCTGCATTTTGTGAACGGTTTTCCTTGTGCTTATCTTGCTAGCCTGTTCATATAACTAATTAGCAAATCTCACTTTAACAGCAGTAGAAACCTTATGGCCCATGACACACACAGACACAACTCTGTGCAGATAGATATACAAAGATATCCACTGACTCTGTGATTTAGTAAACCTTTGCCTACAAAATCCAGAGTAATTTCATCCCAACCTTATTCACCTGGAGAGAGAGACAATAGGCCCAAATCCCATGGCACTGATAAATGTATCCTCATCAACTGAATCTACAGGGAAACATCTGATGGATATGCTTGTTAGGTTAAACTCTGACTGTAAATACACAAGAATAGTACTTACACTGCACAGAAAATCAGACTCTAGTTTTTGTTCCACTGCAAGCTCAATCTACCATTTTTCCTATCTTTGGACCAATATCAAAGCAAAAGAAAAGCAACAAAACTAGCATAATCCACCATAAAATCAAATCTCCTGCAAATCAAAGGACAAATAGACACCAAGGAGGAAAGAGAAAAAGGGATTGCTGTATGCAACAAAATATACAACCGCTAAAGTTACCTCAGTTGTGTCCAGTTGAGGCTCCTGAGCTGCTCCTCTCACAAGACTACTCATTACTGTCCTCCTCGAGGGAAGGAAAGGCCAAACGTTACACACTGAGGACCTGTCCCTCATCAGGTGCTATCCATGGGCTCCGGACACCAGACACTGAACAGAGCCTCACCCTCTTAATGTGACAGCTTCCAGGTTTGCAACTTATTTCACCTCGGGGGCAAGTACTCTCATAAGTTAACACTCAAATGACAACTCAGTGCCAATGCTGGCTTTTCAGAACATGACTGGAGATTCACTTTGCACACTCCCTCAGGACTGCATATTTGAATCATAACACATGTATTCATTTTTTTCTTTTTTTACTACCACACTGTGATTTCCAGAAGGCAAATGATTTTTACTGACATCCAAAACCGATACTACATCAGTGCCCGGCACATGTAATGACCTAATGCACACAGAGTATAAATAAACTTGATACCCTACAACAGGACAAAATAATTTTATGTGTCATTTCCAGATTTCATTCTTTACTCCTAAGTTTACAAGATAAAGTTAAAAACAGTTTACAATGTGTGTTCTCCACTCAGGCCCTTCAATTCACATTAAATGGGTATTTTGCTCATTTTTAAATTCATCTGCTGCAATACACACACACACACACACTTCTATATATGATGAAATATGCGTATGATTATACATATGAAGGTGATAGGCCCTAGAGTACTCATTATTGAGATTTTCCATTTTCTCAATGTGCCTCCATGTTTGTGAAAATCATCTTCTATAATTTTAGCACACTCTGACAATGCCACAGTTATAAAATTAAAGTTCAAATTTATGAACCCATTGACAATACTTGATAGCTGGATTTTCTTACAAATGAGATAATCAAATATTTGTTTAAAGTAAAAAAAAAAACTACAAAGCCATCTCTAAGTAAAGGAGAAACATTTCACGAATACAACTCAAACAGAATGGAAAAGAAAACTTGCTGACAAGTGTTGAGTTTCCTGCGGTCATGGAACAGAATAATGGGATGCAAGACCAAGTACAGGACTGGTCGTATGCATCAAGACTTCAGTTTCACCACGCGCAAATGGGTTACGCAGAAGCAGTGACGGTAGGCAGTGATTTAAACTATGCGAGTCCCTTGCACCCGCATAGTCGATTGGAGAGGGAGAAAAGGAAGCATCTTTCTAGCATTGTACCATTTCCTGATGCTATCTTAAAACAGGGGCTGAAATTGTCTTGATTCAAAAGGAAAAGTACAGGAGTGGAGTCATTCACCCCTTCTCACACCACGGCAACGCAGTGAATGGGGCCAATGTCTGGGAAGAGCACAGCAAGCTTCCAGATGCCGGAGGGAGAGGGAAAAGCTCTGCCCCTTCCCACCATCCCCACCATCCCTGGGAAGCAGGTGCTTACTGGTAAAATCAGGGCTGATTCTATCCAGGAGATGCTGGAAAAGTAATGTAAGCACGTCCCCATCATCGCACAGGGTCACTGCAATGGGCCAATCCGAGGGAGCCCAGCGGTTTTTCTGATCTCAACATTTGAGGGGAAACAATTTGGGGTGAAGACCACTGTGGCCACTTAGCCTTCACATTGGAACCCGATCTGGGGAGAACTCCCAGGCACAGAAGTGGCACACATCCTCATACAGAAAAGCGGACCTGAGGCTGAGCTCAAGCCACACAAGCAAGTCCCTCCGTGCTGAGCAAATGTTTGTGACTTTCTGAGGCGCCATCATGGGTGTGAGCCTGTTAGTCTGGAGGCGTCGTGAGTATCAGTAAAAAGACACAGCAATGAAGACCTACACATCTTTTTAACTGAGGTTTGTGATGTAGAAATGGTAAAGCTCTGACAACATGGCATTTTAGCTTTGGGGTGATATTAAAAATAACTTATTTTGGTTTATGTAATAAGACTGTTTTAAAGGCTCTCTGTGATTATTATTAACAATCATCTTCTTTTCTATTATGGTACAGGATAAATACTCAAATATACACACAGAGACTCTCGGTAAAGCCTTTGCATACACCAGTTAGTAACACACACAAACACACTCACACACACACAGCCAGGCAGTGAGATGTGTGATGGTGTGATGTGTTTAGGCAGTGGTGCTTCTCTGATTCTGTCCGGCTGTCCATCACCTCAGACACTACGAAGAGGCCAGAAACCAGAACACGTAAAAGAGAGAAATAAGGAATAGTTCACATTATAAAAGAAATGTTTACCTAAAGATGAAGATAGCAGCTTATGCAAAAATGTAGTCAATGTGGGAAGTTTTAATAGATTATCAGGAGTATCTGCAATACTTCAAGCAACAAAACACATATATACATCCAGTAATATTTCATGTCAAAGACTAGCTGACAGATAAGCACAAATTCATATTGCATAACCTATAAAGACAAATTTACTTAAGGGAGAAAATATTTTCAGGAACTATACACCTGCTTTGCAGGGTCTATCAATTATGTACATGTCTTGGATATACAATTGACCAAATTGTTTGAGTTTCCAAGCAATTCCAAAAATTGGAAGTGGTTATCTATTTCTTTGAGGGCTTGAAATGTCTAGATAATATATGGCATTTTGATAGGAAGATATCTAACATGTACCAATAAAAATAGTAAAGTGACACAATAAATGATGTCAACACTATAAAACATTTCCATAGAAAAATGCAAACACATCCAGTAGGTTATATCTTTAACTAATATTTAGAATGTTAGAAGTCTCTTTTAAAAGGTTAAACTGCATTAGGTAAACCAAGTGAGTATGAAGAAAAAAAAATAGAAATATATTTACTAGCCTTAATATATTCAGCTTAAAATATTAACGCTGAAAACTGGCTTCACTGCTGCCTGTTTAGATTTAGCATTTTATGTTCAAAAGTAAACGCACAGTGGCGCACGCCTGTAATCCCAGCACTCGGGAGGCTGAGGCAGGAGGATCGCTGTGACTTCAAGACCAGCCTGGGCTACCTAGTGAGTTCCAGATCAGTCTCAACTACGTAGTGAGACCCTGTCTCAAAAAACAGAAACAAAAAAAAGCAAATGCATATAGTATGTAAGGCATGCATCTATGACTTGCTTATGAATCCGGCAAAAGACAAGAAAAATACCGGATTCAGTCCCATACGCAGCACGTCCCCCCATTCCCTGGTGTGCATGTTACTAAGCGCTGCCCGGAAGTGGTGAATGGTGTTTACATTTTCCATAAGTAATATTTGAGATTTATAAATTGCATTTGTAGCAAGTTGCAGAGATCACTGCTTTGGTTTCGGCAGTAATTCTACATAATGATATTGGGAATAAATAAACAGCAATTAAATGGGGACATGACTACTCCTCATAGACTAAGTTTAAATCCAATATGTTCATCCGTTTTCTAACCTTTCCACTCTGCTAGAAAGCACTGCCTTACTATTCTGCCTCTACCAATTCTGACCCCCCTTAAAGTGATGTAAAACTGAGAAATAAGTAAGCATGAGACTTTCAAAAGAAATGAAAATCATAAATAATAAAATCGGTAGAATTTGGTGGAAAATTACAGCGCTTAATATTGATACAAAAATGTTTACAAAAACTAAAATTTTAGTGATGAGGATACCCAATTACAGCAAGGCTATCCAATCGCGGGTTACATTGTTTTATCACCAGGATAAAATGATTTCTGAGAAAAAAGTGAAGCAAAACATGAAGATTTTCAGTATCTTCCATTCAAGAACTGGCTCGAATATGCTCATTAGCAAGATTCTTCAGCAACAGTTACCTTTACGACAATTACGACAATTTTCAAATTGGGCCAAAGACAGACAACCAAAAAAGACTAAAAATAGTAGCTGAAGCAGAGGAAGGAATCCACTCCACAAGACACATGCGTTTGCTCAGACCAGGAGCGAAATGTGACTTCACCAAGCCCAGCGGAAGACCCACTTGGGAGCTTTGTCTCCCACGCTCCATGGTGATTAGTTCTTTCCGCATTGCTGAAAGGATCACTCCCTTGTCTTCCGGGCTCAGGGAGCACAAGGAGGAGACCATCAGACTGGACACCGTCACGCCCGCACTTACTACCTGCGGATCCATCCTCCCGACCAACCCTCGCGCTGCTTTTCTGAGTCTAACCCCTGCGTGCCAATGGCCCAGCCAGCGTCCCTGAAGTGAGCGGACCCCTCTGAACGCAGGATTTCCTTGAAAACTCCTGCCCTGAAATCTAATTTTGAAGATGGAAACTGCACCCAGGTTACCTAGAAATCCACTCATTTTTCCTCTGAAAGAAATGTCACAGCGTCCGAAGAAACGGAAGGGAGACAGTGAGCAAATGTAGGGTGCAGAGAAGACAGGAGAAAACTGCCAGACGAAGCGCGCAAAGTACACGTTCTCTAACCGCGGCGACTGTAGCAGCACTAATCATCCAACAAGTGGCTCCTGCCCTTATTCTCAAGTTAAGATTGGGCTTTCTAAGAAAGATACGCATAACATCAGCTTAGAAAACAACTATACTCATCTTTTAAAATACACAAGCCTCTTAAGGATCTATTGTTATTCAACCATACAAACTGTGAAAGCATTTATTCTATAGCAGTCATCATACTGCAAATTTGGTCACAATGCCATTATCTTGTTAAAAGTAAACCAATACCATTTCAAAAGATTTTGGAGGGGGAAATAAATACCAAGTTACACAAAACGAAACACTGATATAAATATGTATTAAGATGTACTCATCAATTGACCAGAAAGTTTTATTCAGTACTTTCTAAGTGAAAAAAAAAAAAAAAAAAAAAACACCAGGGCACTAAATTACACCTTGAAAAGAACCATATGTTCGCTTTTTCTAAATTGTAACAGTCAAAATAATTTGTCAGATGAAGTTATTTTCAACAGGTCAGAGGATGGACGGAGAGGAAAATATAGCAACTGCAATAAACACACTGCAAAGTGGAGATGATTAGAATACAAAAATAGCACTGCAGCGTCTGAATGACTAGAGACGTTCAGAAGTGCGGAGACAGAGGAGACTGTCATGGGGAAAGGAACGTGTGGTGTCTCACTTGTCCAAGCTGAAGAACCAGGTAGGAATAGAACACCAGCTGAGTGAATTCTCTCGCTTTTAGATAGTTTGCTATAGCAATCTCAATTACAGTACTGTACAATGGAGCGTATGGCGATAGAAGTTCAGAAGTTTCAGAACGAAAGGATACATTCTGCTTGCCTGTGAAATGTTCTTTCTCATCTTTTCTAGGCCAGTCCAGATGTGTAGGTATAGTTCCTCCCTGCCAGCAGGTGGAGATAGTAAAATTGAGTCTTGCGTGACCTCAAGTCCTAATCTAGGTGGTTCAGAATCTTCAGTTTCGTATTTTGGATGTCAAAAAAAAAAAAAAACTGATCGAAAGACATATAAAGCTTGTCAAAAAGCTGAGTCAGTCAAGTGAGCTTTTTATTCATGGTCACTTGCACTAATCTGTACAGGAGAGGGTCTTGGCTGGCACAGAAAAAGACACAAGAAAGAGCATTATTTGGTAGGCTCTATCCGTGTTCTCAGTGTTCCCAGAGCCTTCACATTCACTCAACTGATACTATTTATCATCTGCTCAGAACTGCTGGTTACTGGCCAGAAGGTCTCATAAAGGTTATCTAATTAATGCTACCAATAGGCTTGTGACGTCATTACTGTCCTCTAACATCTTGTCCCTGAATCAGTGTTTTTAAAGCTCTATATGGTGAGCTGACTGCCACGTGCCATGTTTGTTTGGTCCTCCTGCTGGACCCTTTAAGCTTTTCAGATTTAGGTAGACCCACTACTTCCTTCTTTCTATCCAGAAAGGGACTTTGAAGCTGGAAAGTCATTGGCTGGTGGTTAAATCTGGTTTTGATTTGTTTGTTTGTTTTCAGTTCAATTGAATACAAGTCCCCAATAGTTTTCTAGCAAAGGATTCAAAAAGGTTGAAGTGCAGTCACTTTGTAGAGACTGAATAGATGATCAGAAATGTCAGGGTTCCAGCACAGAGCTTTGTGGAAAAGTCTGTTTGAAGACCACACATTTGTGATCAAATTCAGGGAGGAAAGCACTGAAACGTCTGACTGCTGATAAGAACTTCCAAACAATAAAACTCATTCTCCCAAGGCTAAGCCGAGAACACGTAAGCACACCTTGAAGATGACAGAGAAGGACTGAAGAACACTCAGACCTGAACTGAACAGGATGGAGTTATTCCTGTTGTGTCATCCAACATTCAGCACAGTGCTAAACGCACAGTATGCAGTTAATAAACATTTGTGGATGGGTAGAGCATCCTACGAAAGTCTTCCCTGCAATCATATTTAGGAACACAATTTTGCAGACAAAAAGATTACTTAACGGGTTGCAGCTTGGACTACCACTGCTTTCTGGAAGTATTTACATGTGTATCTATTTCAACACTGCGGGTTGAACCCAAGGCCTTCTCACTGAGTTACAGCTCCAACCCTGAGGTGGGATTTTCATGCCCAGATAGAATACCGAAGCCTTATTACTACTGGCACTGACCAAAGGCTGTGTACCGAACATGGTGTAGTTGCACCATTATACAATTTTGGTGTCTCCGTCTCCCTTATACAGGTGTACACTGACATTCTGCAGCCTGGTTGGGTGTGAGCTCCGTTACAGAGTTCCATCAGAACTCACAGAGGCTGATATCGCTATACTGTGGAAAGTCAGGAGAGGTTCTAACACACCCCCGTACCCCCTTAGTGTTAAATTTTAAAACAAGGTCTCACATTAAGTCACTAAATCTCCCAGGCTGGGCTCAGACTTGTGATCTTCCTCCCTGAGCACTGGGATCACAGGCAAAAACCATTCTTCCTTCATGCTTTTTTAATGTGAACTTAAGAATTGCCAAACGTCACACCATATGTGAGTGGATAGCAGCAACCTACTGTCTTGACATAAAGTATTAAATTCGCCTTTGTACTTACTTCACTATCACCTTATCTATAAAACTTCTAACAGTGTAAGTATTTCACCTAAAAAGCCTCGTGCTCAGCAAATAAATTATTAGGTTACTGTCTGAAATAAAAAGTCAAGTATTCGCTTTAAAAAAAAGATTCACCCCATCTTAGCAAGATGTGGGAGCCACACATACAAGGATAAATGAAGAATCTGACATTTTCTGTTCACCACTCTCTTCCTGCCATAATTCCTGCCCAAACCCTGTCTGCGACAGCCTGATGCTTTTACTTTTCTGTCCCAGATGTGAGGTACAAAGGTAACGCTGAGAACTGCTTTTCACTACTGTGGTGTGGCGGGGAAAGACAGCACCAGTATGGGAAATAGTGTGCCAGCAAAATGACCCAGACAGAAAAGTATCATGGTGTAGGAAACTGGTGAGACGGAAACAAACCTTAACATGATCTACTGAATAATGTCTATAATCCTCTGTTCCTTTATAATTGCTCTAATTATAAAACTAGCCTTCGAAATTCCTCCAGTATGCTCCACTGCTGAACCAAGGATTTAGAAACAAAAGCTATCTTTTGATCCTTTTAAGCCAATGTCTTGGGAAAGTCTTCAGAATGCAATGAAAGCTACGGACACCCAAACCAGAACATTATCCTCTAAATACCTCTGCAGGGTTAGCACACAGCAGCACGGGGCTTCCAAGCACTCCCCAACACCCAGAGACTATCTGTCAACCATTTTATCTACCTGACAATCAAGGTGGAGCACACTTTCTCCAAGAATAGCACTGCCATTATAAAGCAAAACAAAGTAGTTGAATTTCATTCCACAGTGGGAAGAGCTAAGTGGTGTCTCAGTTTTGTTGGTTTTGTTTATTGATAGCTTGCAGTGCCCAGGATCAAACCCTGAGCCTCCCGCATGCTATGTAAGCTATGTCTCTAGCCCTAGGTGATGTTTGCACGCACACGCACATGCACACAATTAGCATGTTTTTTACATAGAAATAATGACAATATTTCTCATAGTTCTAATGCAACTGTATAAAAGTATTTTACTTGCTGTCAGAAAATAGTACCTTTAATGAATAATTTAGAATCTGAGAATTCTTTACAGGTATTGTTTAAAAAAAATATTCTGGCTGTCAACACAGGTCAGGAAACTGTGCATCACTAGCATGCCCAAGGCCCTGGGTTCAATCCCCAGCAAAGAACCTCCTCCAGAAATCAATTTTACAGGACACATTTTAAAGGAGTTGTTTAGAATTATTTCTATAAAAGAATATGAGAATTAATTTGCTTGTCTATATTTCAATGGAAAGATTTATCATCGCTCCCACAATTTGAAGTATGCTGCTTTTTTAGTATAATCACAAATGATAAGCCATGGAAACATTTTCCAGACTGATTTTAAAAGTTTTTTATCATCAATGAACCACCAGCTACCAATGGGAGTGCGTGACAGCCCTGATTCATCTTGTTAGCCCCTTTTCACTCATAGGCAAGGCCACAGAGCCGCACCCTCTTCAACTGGAGTTGGTTTTTCAAGATTCTATCTCAGTCATTCTTCTACCATTACAAATCCATACTCTTTACATCAGTAGCTCAGATCTCTAAGTCACAAAGGCATGCTCTGCTCTGACCTCATGACCGATTTCTCAGCCCAACTCTCTCCTCTATGTAACTTCCTCATTTCTACTCGTGGAATCACTTTGTAATTTCACTTCTGTTTATGACAGCACGGTCGATTTAATATGGGGAGAATAGAGTTAAACAGGTCAGGCACGTGTGGTCAGAGCTCCATAGGTACTCATTACTGTTTTGCAGTTTCCTTCAACAAGAATCACTCACCCTGTGCGTGCCCTGCTCTTCCTCTTCCTTCGCAGGGGGTCAGCTTTCCAGCCCTCCAACCCAACAGTTGTGTTTTCTTCAACCAACAGCAATGGACATATATTTGCCTTAAGGCTATTTTAAATGAATAGATAACCTAATTTTGGAGAGTCAATTTAGGAAGTAAAATACTGCACCTTATTGCCTATTCATGCCTGTTCACTAAGTTTCTAAGTGAATGAAGTTTACAGTTATAGCTAGTTCTGATTTGAATTTTATTCTTTATGTCTCCTTAATATTTTTGTCATACACAAAGGGTTCATTTTAGCATTAATCCAACTGGAAGTCATCTTTGTCTAATTAAAAAAATACATTCCTTGCATAATGTCACAAAGACATTTTTATATTATACATAGCTCCATGTTTTAAAATATACATTTATTAAAAATGAAATGCATATTTATTCATGGTTTGAATGGTATTTAGCTTATTTTCCCATGTGGACAATGCCTATTCTTACACTTATTGTAGAATTCAGACTTTCTTCCTGTCGCAAGTAGCACAACGTTAAGCTCAGGGGAATCCATTCCTGCCCTGTTTTGCTTCTTATACAAAAACACATTGTTAATCAATTATAATGGAGACTGATGCCCCGTTCCCTCTGGTCCTTTCTTCTCTTCCTTTCTCTTTGCAGTACTGAGGATGGCCCCCAGGGACTGGACACGCCCCCTACTACCACGGGCCCTCTTCTCTACGTCAGTACAGCTTTGCCAGACAAGTTCCATGCAACTGCACGAATTTCACTGTAACTATGTTTGCTTTATAAAATTAGGAAAACTTTACAAAACTACACCATTAAATGCACCCACCAGTAATCGTATGATTTACTTGTCAATTTGTTGACATTTTATATATGCTTTTCCTTCCAGTACTACTTAAATAACTCCAAAGACAGCTACCGTGGATAAAGGAGGCCAAGCATGACACACCCAGAACAACCAACGAGCCGATACACTGTCAACTGGGAAATGCTGGTGCTCGCTTTGGCACAACAGCCTGAAGCCCATCCAAGGGCACAGGATAACACCAGATGGACACGAGAGAGGGCAACCACTGCTATCTCCCTCAGGAGCCAGGGCTGTGAAAATTCTTGAAGTATTGGTTGCCTCACCCCCAGTGTGAAAGACTTTGCCCAACTTTAAATCATATTCATAGGACTTCTCAGTTCTCTCATTGCTATTAAGCTTTAATTATTTTCACAAAGACTTTACAGACCTTCATTTAAAGAGCAGTATTGAATGCAGTGGCAATGAATCAGATCTTTGCTTTGTTATGTTTACCAGGGAGGTCTTTATCACATTAAGTTGTTCTTTGGTATGCAGAACTCTGAAATTGTCTCACTGACATAGGATTGGCTTTGCTGATTTCCTCTCCTTTCAGAGTGTGCATTTCCCAAAAGCTGGGATCTCCCCTGTCTGCAAGTGGTGGAGTACAGTGTCATACGTGATACACAACACACATCTGCTGCATGAATAAATTTGTATTTAATGATGTGGCTTAAATGTAGCTATAGAAATAGACTTTGTCTTAACTACTTAAGGAATGTGTAATCTTCCCATCCAGTAAGAGAATACCAAAAACACATGAGATCACAGCAGGAGCTAGTAATAAATTAGAGGTCTATTTCACTAAAAGTGGTGACTTTCCTATTCACATCTCTACTGATCCCGTCTTCCCTTCATGTGTTTCTACATATTCATCACCCTCTAACGTCTTGTTTAACTCTTATTTTACCTTCATAGTATTTTCTTCTGCGGCTCTTCTGCTCTCCTACCCACGTACGGAACCTGAAGCAATTTCATTAGAAATAAAGCTTCAAGTCTTTCAGAACAGACAGTATTTCCTAGTGTTATAAAACCACAAGGCTGAGGCGAGCTTAAGGAAATATTTTAAGTCTTGAGTGAACAGGTGAGCACATGACATGTTATTGTCTTCTGCTTCTCAGGTTTCCTTCTGGGTATATTGTTTCTGTGAAATTAACTCTTCTCTATCATCTTCTCCAACAAGGTATCCTCACTGCTGCATTTCAACGAGTTTTATTCTCCTCACTTACAATAAGTTGAAATCATAAAGCTGCTTCCATGGGGCTTATTAATCCACACTTACTTTTAATGAAATACAGGGTGAATGCTTCAAAGGAATGCTCAATCTTCAGCAGCTGATCCATTAACACCATGGAGATTAAGGAGTCTTTTAACATTGAGCTACTTCCTAAGGGCAACTGAGGGACTCCCACCAGTACATGCCCACACATTTTCCTGGAACTTTACCCAATTTTAATAGAATTCTTTTGTCTATGATGTCTTGTTGCAGTTCTATGCTTCATGAAACCTGTTTAAAAGTCTCATTAAATTAAAGGTAGAAAAATAACAGCAAACAATGAATGCTGAGTGCTCCTAAGCATCAAATGCTAAAGTTGATGTAAAATCTTAAAGTCAAACAGGACATATGTTAACATGCAGGAGCTGTTCTGTGTGCACAGGCTGATGAAAAAACACTGGGAAGGGAGAGGCCATCCATAGGGCTCAGCCTTTGCTGCTCTCAACTGCTCAGTTCCAAGCAGCAGCTGCAACTTCTCTTAAGTGGCTGCCAACACAGGAGTTCTAACGGGCTCACCATGGGAAGTGCACAGGAAATTCCTTGAAAGTATTAGTACTAAAATATTTTCCTGGAAGAGGCTGCACATCAAGAAAACAAACTAATAATTGCAAGAAACTAATATGAGTCTAACCAAAAAGGCAATGTGTTATTCTGATTTTGTGATTCACAGATCGACTGCAGTTACAATAAAAAGTTGGAATGAATGAACTTTACTGTAGTAAATGGCCCACGTGTTAGTTAGAGACCCCACCTGCGACCATGCTCAGCTATTTTAAAGCCTTTAATCATTTCTGCTCAACATGTGAATATTATGTTTTTACATATGGACTAAATATAAAGCTCATATAAAAATTTTTAATTCAAATGCAAATTACTTAAGAATGGTGATTTATTAAGGAAATGTACACAAGATACACTCCAAAAGGCTTGAGCTTTAATGAAAGTATTCTAAAAATAATATTGTAGATTTAGTAATATTACAATATACAAGTGATTTAAAAGAGTTGTAGAGTAGCTTGTTACATGTAAGTGGTCATGCAAACATGAGAATTTCACTCATGTTTTATACATAGAAGGTAATCTGGAGATGTATTAATGTCATGCTTATTATACTGTGCTACTGTTATAGGATTCTGAAAGCTAACTCTCAAATGGTTTTTGTAATAAATCTACATTTTTAACTTCCTAGTAATTCAAGAGCAAATTTTTTCCCATTAAGTTTACTGGTACACTTTAGGTACACAGTGCAGTTACATTCATCATTGGGATCTCGTACCTTTACGTGACAGATCTTGGTTCTCATTTTCTCTGCATCCCCTGCTCTCCCTTCACCCCTTTCACCCTTCCCGATTTACAAAGACTTTTTCTTCATGTTTCTTTTCTCATATTTTCCCTTCTTTCCTTCCCCCATCCTTCCCACTTCCTTTACTCCTTTAGGTGTTTTCTTCGTATTTCACATTACCAATTATACATTTTGATCCTTATTTACACTTTTAGCTTTTCACACCACAGAAACGCTTCGGTATTTACACATGTGTGTCAGATTTATTTCAGTTAAGGGTATGGCCTCAACGTGCATCCACTTAGCTATAAAGGTCTCAAGAGCAAATTTTTTAAAACTATTAATGAGTTAATACTAATCTATAAAACCACAAAAACACCTAACTTTAGGTTATAAAAATAAACCTCTTATTAAAAGTCCAGACACAATACAAGATCATTACAACTCTAATTTGGCACTGTGGATTAGCAATCATAGTTTTGTCTACTCAGATTGAACCACAGCAGTCACAGTTGTGCCACAGACCGAGCTTACCATTTTGTATGTGCTAATAAGATAATATACCAAAACGAAGGTGCACACACACACACACACACACACACACACACACACACACAGAGACATATTTACATACCCTCTAGTCAATAACCCCGAAGTTTAGACAATTTCTGGTGCAGATATGGAATTCTGGGGGAACCACAGTGATGAATGTATGACATGGAAGAAACGCACACAAGACTTTAGGATTTGTTGTCTCCAGCACACACATTAGCACAGGATCGGTGCAGTCCAATGCACCATCTCGTTGACCCAAGACTTCAAAGGGTCAGCCTGTGTCTCAGTCCTCACACAAAGGCCCTGCACACAATGGCATCATGGCATGTGTCTCCCGAGGCTTGGCTTTCGAACTCACACGCTTTGCCGCCTAAGCTTTTAGGCCTTCCCTGTTCTATTACAGACAGATGTGTTTAGCTTTCATCTCCTTAACTGCACTGGATTTACTTAAGGCCACAAGACACATGTTCTTGTACACTCCTTTCAACATTCCATGTTAATCTTCCTGACAGAATCTCACTTCACTCCATCTTTGAGAACAAATGCTTCTGTGCAAAACAGGCACTTTAAAAAGTACGCAGCTATTTTAGAACTGCTATGAATTTTATCATTCATTTGTGTGTATAGTCTTCTGTTAAAATCTTTACATTGAAAGAATGTACACATATATAATTATAAATGAACAGAGATTTAATAATGCATGAAACATCATGCTGCTGTCTCCTACCCACAAAATCCCGAAGTGATCGTGAGAGCCAAAGCGCTCTATGTTATTCTGCTGCTTTCCTATACCACTGTTTCTGAAAGTGAATCATTACACCATTAGTGGTTCTTAATATGATCTTCAGTACTACATAAAATGATGTTATTTTAACGACTGATAATTCATTTTGTGGATAATAAATGTACTCAAATGACATTTTTCCATGGGTGTCTCCCATGCCTTTCTTTTACATTTCTTAAAGAAAAAAAAAAGTCCATCAATGTAAGGAAAAATGTTTAGAGAATAATAACACAAATTGATATGATTTTGGTAAAAGTTGTGACAGCCTGTAATGGGTTATATTTTATATTTTAAGATGAAGATTTTAAACGCTATGAAGATGGAACCAAGGCCGATGTGTTCACTGTTTTAATCCCTAAAACACACTTTGGATTTATTATACTGTTAATAATATTTGATGAAAGAACATATGTGATATATAAGTGATAAACTCTAGCACTTACCAAAAAGATCACAAATATTAGTTCTGAACAAAAAAAAAATCTTCTATGAAAAGTACCTTTTTGATATGGGACATTAAATTGTGAAAAGCTTACAAAATATGATGGATGATATAAAACACAGCTGTGTGTTATATAATTAAAAGATTTAAGCACAATAAATAAGGAAGGGAAAAATACATCATAAAATGTTTTCAAAGAACTAAATACATCATGGCGTCAACCAAGCTCTTTGAATCCCTTAACCAGCTTTCAAGACCTGAACGTGACACTTACTCTGGTTTCTAAGATAGGCCTGGAAATGAGGAAGACTCGAACCGAAACCTATGACTACGGAGACAGCTGATAGGTCCTGACCAAAGTTTCCACAAATGACAAACTCAGTGCAGTAGGAACAAAAAAATAAACCAGCAGCCTCGCTATGATTCCACTCAAAAAACAAGACAGCCAATCCACCTGAAATAGAGGAAGGAAGACACTTAATATCCTCTTCACTCAGATGTCACACCTGAGCAGACATGGTGTTGCTAGGAGACCAAATAAGTGTTTGTTAATTATAATTACAATGCCTCGTTCGGTTTACAACCCCAAACACGCACGGTCATTTAGATATGAAGTGCAATTTTCAAGCAACAAAGCCCAAACAACTGAGGGGTGCAAATGAAAGGAGGGGCAATGGCAGGAGTTGGGGTGACGTGCGGGACACTGCCAGCCAGCTGTCAGGAGCAGGGTGTGTTCGGGGCAGCTCTGGAGACCGATGGGGCTGCATCCGCACGTGTCTCAGACCCCGCTTCTGGGTCGGAGAACAGAGACTCAGAGGCACAGGACCAAAGTTGCCCCAACCTTATGTCACAGACTGCCTACCGCAGGGGGCTGCCTAAGTGTCAGGCTCCCTACTTGACTGGAGAGGACACTGGAAAGGGAATTCAACCATCT